TTTGTGAAAAGTGAAGATAACGTAAAGGAAGCCTTCTAATAAACGTTCAGTAAATGGTAGTTTTTACGTCCGAGTCGTTCTTTTATTGTAGGACATTTTCTACATTGAAAATCAAAAGGAGTATGAAAATAAAAAGGCTGCTAGAAAGAGGAGAACACAAGTGTTGGGGAAAAAGATGAAACAAGCTATTAAGAATCTAAATTTTCAAGAAGATGACGATACATCACGAGAAACTTTCGCAAGTGATACGAACGAGGCTCTGGCCTCTCTTGACGAGCCGCAGGAAGGCCACGGAGAGACAAAGCTGGATGCAGAGGAAGCCATCGAGGTGGATCATTCGCACGATTTGGACATCTTTTAGTACATTTGGAGGAATAAGCCTTTTTAGAATAACCTTGTAATAAGCCATTTCTACTGAAGTTGCTTTGTTTTACTTTGCACTGATACACGTAAAAATCCGGAGAGAAAGAACTTTTTTTTCTTGTTTAAAATAAAGTTGAATCTGTGGGGAGATGAATGTTATTGATAGAAACATTTCTCATGTCTGACAAAATACTTACAAGTATATATAGCAGAGGATTTAATTTCTCAATCTGTTGCATGTGTTAGTTATTACTAGTTGATAATTACTTTTGTCCAGGTCATTGTAACATGCCATTCAAAAATTTGTTTTCTTTTTCTGATTTATCCTTGCAGTGAATTATGATTGGTTTCAAAACATTCCATTAAAAGATCCTAATAAGGCACATATATTGTTAAGCTGTTACAAATGCATTCAAATTTAGTTTTTCTGGGTTCTAAGAACTTTTAGGCAGTTTTAAGGACAGAGACTAAAAATAGGTTTATACTGATGGCTCTTAACCACTTATTTGTCCAGAAGTAAATTAACATCAGAAGCTTTTCAAAGAAATATTGGTTCTTATCTTTAACTTTGTTTTTTTACTTCTTTCTAATTACTTGATCATACACTCAATACTAGAATGTGATCCATACCTGTGTAACTACTTTGGACATTGAAAAAATTCACAGTGGTTGCCTGCCTAAGACTTTTTTACCTTATGTTAAGGAAGTTGGGTATTAAAAATGTTACATCTGCCTGAAGTGTCAAATTACTCATTTTTATTGAAGGAAATAAGGGGAGTTAAGGTGTTCTAAGGGTTGACTATGGTTTACAAAATAAACAAAAATCTGTGGGAAGCAATGTAAACTATTCTTTACAGACAGTACTTAAAGTCTTTCTGTAGTTCCTGGAACCGAAGTTGGATCTAAGAATTTAAGTGGGAAAAGAAGAGGAAAGTGGTTATTGGTTGCTTTTTATTCATAAAGAATGCAAAAATAAAATTAGATTTTGGGCAGTCCTTAATGCACTTCAAGTGACTTTTTTTTTTAAAGATTTATTTATTTGAGTAATCTCTACACCCAGCCTGGGGCTTGAACTCAAGACTCCAAGATCACGAGTCTCATGCTCCTCTGACTGAGCCAGCCAGGTGCCCCTCAAGGGACTATTTTTTTTAATCTCAGATATTCTTGCATAAAATTGCTATAATCAAGGGAAGAAAGTATTTTAAATAGGTAACTGAATATTGTTCCTGAGATTATTCACGAGAGGTGATTTTTTAAAGGTGTAATACATTGGGAAAGATAACATTCAGTTAACTGCTACTTTCGTTTTTTTGTGTTTTTTTTTTTACTTTTTTTTGTTTAAAGATTTTATTTATTTACTTGACAGAGACACAGTGAGAATGGGAACACAAGCAGGGGGAGTGGGAGAGAGAGAAGCAGGCTTTCCGCTGAGCAGGGAGCCCATTGCGGGGCTCAATCCCAGGACCTGGGATCATGACCTGAGCTGAAGGCAGACACTTAACTGAGCCACCCCGGCGCCCCTTTACTTTTTTTTTTTTTTTAAGATTTTATTTATTTGAGAGAGAGAGAGAGCACAAGCTGGGGGTGGGGGGTGGGCGACACAGAGGGAGAGGGAGAAGCAGAACTTGAAGTGGGACTGCCTCTCAGGACCCTGATCATGATCTGAGCCGAAGGCAGATGCTTAACCGACTGAGCCACCCAGGTGTCCCTAACTGCCACCTTAAATGCCATACGTTTGTGTAAATACTGCTAAATTTTGTAGTGAAAGTTAAGGTTTTTTGAAGGGTATTAACATCTGAGGCTACTTCATCTTCACTAAATGGTCCGTCCTGGTTCTTTTTCCTTTTTTTTTTTTTAAGATTTTATTTATTTGCGAGAGAGAGCAGGAGTGGAGGGGCAGAGGGAGAGGGAGAAGCAGGCTTCCCGCTGAGCAGGGAGCCCGATGCGGGGCTCGATCCCAGGACCCTGGGATCAGGACCCGAGCCGAAGGCAGACCCTTCACGGACTGAGCCACCCAGGTGCTCCCTGGTTCATTGTCACCAGTGGTTGTTACCATTTGGAAACCACGGATTTCTGGATTACATTAGGATTACATCCTAATGTTAAATAGAAACCAACACTTAGAAGTGTTTTGTTTTTTCTTAGTAATCCATGACATTTTATTATCACTACATCTTGGATGCTTATCCTGCATTTTTACCAAAAGGTACTCAAGTTTTGAAAATACCTAAACACCAATCAAAATAATTCTGCAGAGCAGCACCTCTTGCAGGCATATGCTGTGGGGATTGATGCAAAATGCTCAGCAGGATTTTCGATGTGTCCCAGATGGCTTTAATCATTAGTGTGAAAGAACTGCCTTAACCTCACAGAAGAGATCCAATTCAGGGTCAGGATCTTGAGGTGGCAATTCCAGGGTAGGGAACAAAGCACCTCACGGAGCCCCGTGAGCTCCACCAAGAGCAGCCTCTGGAAAGAGAAGCACTGAGACATGGGTACTGCTCTTGGCTGATGGGTTTAGCTGCCCCATTAGCCTGCCTTCAACGTCCAGGCCACACCACGGCTAGGAGTAGGTGTATGAAAATCTCACTGTGATGTTTCCTCTTCATTTTTTTTTATTTTTTAAAGATCTATCCATTTATTTTGAGAGAGTGAGAATGAGAGAGAGAGTACATGAGAGGGGGGAGGGTTAGAGGGAGAAGCAGGCTCCCCGCTGAGCAGGGAGCCCGATGTGGGACGCGATCCCGGGACTCCAGGATCATGACCTGAGCCGAAGGCAGTCGCTTAACCAGCTGAGCCACCCAGGTGCCCGATGTTTCCTCTTTAAAATAGCATCTTGGCCACTACCTCCACTGAGGACCTACCCATCTGCTCCTCGGGCTACTCAAAGCACCTGTAGGTGACCTGGCCGCCTTGCGTCCTCACTCACCATCAGCTCCCCATAGAGGTGTGTGCCCATGGCCAGATCTCCTGAAGGAATTTTGCCACATCTCTGTACACTTTTCTGTACTTTTGCTTAAAAACGATTCACATGACCCATAGCGAACCTCTGCATCCTACTGGGGGAGGTGGCATGTCTTCTCAAGACTTGGCAGAGTTTGGGGGTTCACGGTCTTCTGCTCCAAGACATGCTCCAGAAGCAAGATAACCTGGTCTGAATGGAGTGAGGGTCCCAAATGGGGCACAGACCAGAGCCTGGAGTCCTCCCCAACACTTCAATTTTTAAGGTTCTTTACTTTTTATCCATTAAAATTACTCTTTCTGCCCATCTAAATCCAGAAATCTCTATCCAGGGACGCCTGGCTGGCTCAGGTGGTAGAGCACGCAACTCTTTTTTTTTTTTTTAAGATTTTATTTATTTATTTGAGAGAGAGAGCACATGAGAGGGGGGAGGGTCAGAGGGAGAAGCAGACTCCCTGCTGAGCAGGGAGCCCGATGTGGGACTCGATCCCAGGACTCCAGGATCATGACCTGAGCTGAAGGCAGTCGCTTAACCAACTGAGCCACCCAGGCGCCCAGAGCACGCAACTCTTGATCCTGGGTTCAAGCCCCACGCTGGGCGAGGAGATTACGTAAAGAAAAAAAAAATGTCTATCCAAACTATTGTCAGGTCTATATTCAGTTAATACTGTTACCCAACTATCTGGCAATAATTCTTGCTGCTCAGCCTAACTTCTTTGTACTTGCTGACTATGGGATTGACACGACGAGCCCTCCACTTCTTGTGGTAATTTAGGTGTCATTCTCACTTGCAAGACACACTCCCTGTATTAAAATGAGTTTTTATAATCTCAAATGGAACTCACATCCTAAGGGATAAAATGGGTTGGGATGGTTTGGGGTTTAAACATACTTGATTTCCACTCTTAAAGGGTTTTCTAAGCAATAGATGGTGAAACATAAATGAGACACATCCACCATGTGCGGTATATAAATAGGACAATCAGCTAAGGACAAATACAGAATGTTAATGTGAACGGCTACTTTGTGAATAATTGCATAGTCCAAAATGTTACCTAGGATGTTTGTGTCAAATTTGTAATATGTCTGCAAGGATTCTCAGTTTTTTAATTGTTCATGATAAGAATGATGTTTTAGTCGTAGGGATATAAAAAAAAAAAACAACCACTGAAAATAGCCCTAAGCTCCACATTTTTAAAAAATACGTTTTCAAGTTTTGTTTATTTAATGTCTACAGCCCATGTGGGGCTTGAACTCACGACCCCAAGATCAAGAATCATGCGCTCTTTCAACTGAGCCAGCCAGGCACCCTTTAAGCTCTACATTCTTTTTTTTGTTTTGTTTTAAGATTTTATTTATTTGCCCGAGAGAGAACGTGTGCACAAGCAGGGGCAGAAGCAGACAGAGGGAGAGGGAGAAGCAGGCTCCGCACTGAGCAGGGAGCCCGACCTGGGGCTCCATCCAAGGACCCTGGGATCATGACCTGAGCCGAAGGCAGACGCTTAACAACTGAGCCACCCAGGCGCCCCTGAGCTCTCTATGTTCTTAATCACCTGCTAATGTAACTGCTCTGGGTTACTGTGAAGTTAGCAAGACAGTGTTCTGTCTGAGGCAACAATGTCATCATAATTAGAGGAGTGAGTGAGTGAAGTTCTAGAGAAGTCTCTCCCTACTGGCAGCGATGGCTTCAGGGAAAGACACTTGTCCTATCCTACCTAAGCTTACCAACAGCTGTTACGAGGAGAGTTCATATAAGCCTTCTAATAAGTGAGGACTTGAGGGTTCTGGGTTTGGGGGTTTTGTGTTCAGTTTTGTTTTGTTTGCCCTCCGGGAGCGACACACAGATGAGGACAAACATTTTGCGCTTCCCTTGGCATCTGTCTAGAAAGCTTGTTGTTCCAGAGGGAAACAATGGGTGGGCAGGGAAAGCAAGTCTGCCCCGAGTATAAAATGCAGGTACTAAATTCAGAAGCTGTTGTTTGTACCTGGTCAGAGACTTCTTTAGGCCATGGGTGGGCCTGGGGCAAATCATGGTGTGCTGCCTTCTCCCTTAGTATCAGGTTACATGAACACTGCAAGCAAGTTGTAAAGGACAGCATGCAGCTGGAGGTACAGATAATCAGGTCGTACTCTTGATCTTGGTGATACTTGGAGTTTTAATGGGTTCAATATTAGATGAGCCTCAAACAATGCCATAGCTCTCCGTCCTGAGAGCTGGGGGGGTTCAAACATCATGGACACAACACATGAATAACGCTAAAACGATTGTATTGAACTCACCAGATATCCTTCCTTCCTGCCTTCCTAATCTTCAGGTGTAATGAGGTTCATTTGCCACGGTTTTCATTAAAGCAAGGGATGATCCCAAGACGTTACATTATGCCTTGGAAAGAAAACATGAAATTCAGGAATGTGAATCTGAAGGTATTTTCCTATAAATGTTCATAATAAAAAATTCATAGTTAAATAATATACTTTAATATACCTATGAATAAATATGTAACTATGCAAAAGCTATTTTTAAATTTATATTTATTTTTTCCAGCTTTATTGGGAATAATAAATATATGTATTTAAAGTAGACAACGTGATGACTTGATAAACATACACACTGTAGAATAATTACCAGGATCAAGATAATTAACACATTCATCACCTCACAGTGTTAACTCATTTTTTCTTCTGGTGAGCTTAAGATCTACTTTCTGCAACTTTCGAGGATACAATACTGTATTATTAACTATAGTTACTAGGCTTATGCTCACTTCGGCAGCACATATATTAACTATAGTTACTAGGCTGAACATTAGATCTTCAGAACTTGGTCTTATAACTGAAAGTTTATGCCCTTTGATCTATGTCTCCCCATTTCTCCCTCCTCTAAGCCCTAGTAACCACCGTTCTATTGTCTGACAAAAACAATAAACTATTTGATGTACTTTCACAGAAACTTGCAAGAACAGTTAAATAGCAACATCTATTCAAGTATTTGAGTCCAAAGACAAACTACACCCAAAGTTTTCAGAACTCTCTGTCTACCATTCTCCACATAATGGCAACTTGCAATTATGAATTAACTTAGGGGCGCCTGGGTGGCTCAGTCAGTTAAGTGTCTGCCTTCAGCTCAGATCATGATCCCACTGGGATCATGCCCTGCATCAGGCTCCCTGCTCAGTGCAGAGTTGCTTGGGAGTCTCTCTCCCTCTGCCCCTCCCCTTGCTCATGAGATCTCTCTCTCTAATACAATAAATAAAATCTTAAAAAAAAAAGTAAAGTAGGAGCGCCTGGGTGGCTCAGTTGGTTAAGCATCTGACTTCAGCTCAAGTCATGATCCCAGGGTCCTGGGATCAAACCCCACGTCAGGCTGCCTGCTCCGTGGGAAGCCTGCTTCTCCCTCTCCCACTGCTACTCCCCCTGCTTGTGTTCACTCACTCTCTCTGTCAAATAAATAAATAAAATATTTTTTAAAAAGTAGAATAGAATCTATTGTAATAATCAGACTATAATAGGAGATTTTAAGTTAGGATTCGTAGAAAGAAATGGGTTTGCATAAATTTGTAAATTTCTAACAGCTAAGCAATTAAGCTTGAATAAGAATATACTTTACCAAGAGATAACATAATAAAATATGAATATTATATGATATATAAAATATATCAAAAATACAACTTGCTTATTTTTTATAAACTACAAACAATATAGTAAATGAAGCTGCTATTAGCCCTGAGATGATTATTTTGTATGTATTTTTGTCTGATATTTTGGAAACAAATATAAAATGGAGGAAATCTAGACTCAACATATCAAATTTACCTCTATTAAGACTTCTCTGTAGTCTTAATATTGAACTGTATTTCTTATAATTCAGTGGCTTGTCAGGTCATTTTTCATGTCGTAAATAGCTTGAGCATGGTGACAATATTAGTACTGACTTTATCTTTCCCATTTGCCGGAACTACGGTGTATATAAACTTTGAGCTGAAGTCAACAATGAAAAACTGTTTTGAATACATCCTGACCTCACTCTTGAGAGCTATAATCCAGCGTAATTTTCTCTTCACTGTTTCGCTTGTGCAATTTAGTTGACAGCACTCCTAACAACTTAAAAAATAATATTAGAGACTGGTGTAGAGGAAATTCTCCCTGACAGAGTAAAAATGAAAATTAAGTGAGGGGCGCCTCTTTGGCGTCTGTCTTTGGCTCAGGTCATGATCCTGGGGTCCTGGGATCCTTGCTCAGCCAGGAGCCTGCTTCTCCCTCTCCCTCTCCCACTGCCCCTCCCCTCCACTCATGCACACGCACGCATGCACTTGCTCTCTCTCGCAAATAAATAAATACAAACTCTTTTTTAAAAGATTTTATTTATCTGAGAGAGAGAGGTGGGGAAGGACAGAGCGAGAGGGAGAAGCAGACTCCCCTCTAAGCAGGGAGCCTGACTCCAGGCTCCATCCCAGGACCCTGGGATCATGACCCGAGCTGAAGACAGAATGAGCAATGCAGGCGCCCCTAAATACAAACACTTAAAAAAAAAGAAAAGAAAAAATTAAGTGAGAAGAAATGAATGTAGCCTGGATGAATGCCAGCTATGTTTTCCTTCCTTCTATTTACCTTCACCATTTTTCCTGCTGGAGAGGCTGTAACTAGGCAACATCACAGTGAGAACACAGCATAGTGGAGATGGGGCTGCACCCCAAGACCCCCCCCCAGAGTGCGATTCAGCACAGAAATAGATGCATATGTAAGACAGTAGCTCAAGTGCCTGCTATTTCTCCAGGCCCAGGTGCCATGGCAGCAGCATAGTGGATATTGATCTAATACTTTGAAGTTGGCCAAAGTCTTTTCATTCACATACAATGTTTTATTCAACACTCAAAGAATCCTTGACTAATACCCATTTCATATTTGAGAAAACCGGGTCTCACAGCGGGGTAAGTGACTTGTACAAGGTCCCACAAGCTGTGAAGAACTACATGATTAGTCAGCAGTCCACACCACTCTTCCTGGTGGTCCAAGCACGAGCTAGAGATCATCGCCTTTAAAAAAAAAAAAAAAAAGATGTTGGGGCACCTGGGTGGCTCAGTCATTTAAGCGTCTGCCTTCGGCTCAGGTCATGATCCCAGGGTCCTGGGATCGAGCCCCAGGTCGGGCTCCCTGCTCAGCGGAGAGTCTGCTTCTCCCTCTCCCTCTGTCTGCCACTCCCCCTGCTTGTGCTCTTTCTCTCTCTCAAATAAATATAAACAAAAATCTAAAAAAAAAAATTAAAATTAAAAAGGGATGTTATAGTGCTCTGTCCACTAGACCTTCCTTAATTTTTTATTTTTATTTATTTATTTATTTATTTAAAAAATTCATTTATTTATTTGACAGAGCGAGAAAGCACAAGCTGGGGGACAGTAGAGGGAGAGGGAGAAGTGGGCTCCCCGTGGAGCAGGGAGCCCGAAGCGGGGCTCGATCCCAGGACCCCGGGATCATGACCTGAGCCGAAGGCAGATGCTTAAATGACTCAGCCACTCAGGCGCCCCCCTTCCTTAATTTTTTAAAAAGATTTTCTTTATTTATTTATTAGAGAGAGCGCTAGCGCACGCGCATCCGCTGAGGGGATGGAGCACAGGGAGAGGGACAAGCAGACTCTGCGCTGCACTCTTGAGTGCAGAGCCCATCGCGGGGCTGAACCCCAAGACCCTGAGCTGAAAGCCAGGACCTGGGTGCTTAACTGGCAGCCATCCAGGCACCCCTAGACCTTCCTCCTCAGCAGGGGTAGTTAGGAAAAACCATTGAGGAATCTCCATCCTCCTCTAATCAAGTGCTGTTTGGTGTGATTTATGGTGGGATTTTTTTTTCCCCGCTTAGCACGCAGAAGCGTGTGGGATCTACGCTGGCCCTTTAGAAGACTCTCTGTTTTTGAATCACAGCGAAAGACTTTGCCATGGGGAAGATCGGGAAGTTGTCTTGAAGAAAGGCCCACCAGAAATAAAAATTGCAGACATGCCTCTGCATTCACCGCTCTCCAGATACCAAAGCACTGTGATCTCGCATGGCTTCAGGAGGCGACTTGTCTGAGGCTGGAAGAATAAAGTGTCCGAGTATTTCAATCTCAATCTCTTTCTCTCTCTCCCCACAAATTTAAACCCGTGGTACCATTGTATTTCCCCTACAGTTTCAACTTGTTTAAAGGCTACAAGTCAACTGTACTCTTGATCCATTATACAAGTTTTGGAAAGCAAACGGGCTCTGAGAACATCGGAGTTGATGAGGGTGGGGAGGGGGCAGGGCATACTCTCAGTGAAACTAATTTCATACCCAATAGTTAAGACTTTTAACTGATGGGGGCGCCTGGGTGGCTCAGTTGGTTAAGCGACTGCCTTCGGCTCAGGTCATGATCCTGGAGCCTCGGGATCGAGTCCCGCATCGGGCTCCCTGCTCAGCAGAGAGTCTGCTTCTCCTTCTCACCCTCCTCCCTCTCATGCTCTCTGTCTCTCATTCTCTCTCTGAAATAAATAAATAAATAAAATCTTTAAAAAAAAAAAAAAAGACTTTTAACTGATGGATCCCATCCAACCATCTATCTTCACTGTGTTCTTCTTTCCCTTCTCTTCGCTCCTTTGTTGTTCATCATCCTCCAAAACTCAGGGTGAGAGGAGCCTCACTGAGAAAGAGTGACAGGATGTGGAGTTATTTCTGCTGCTTTTCTGCCTGCCCCAGCACCACCTTTCTGCCCCACCTCACCAACACACCTCCCCCCACCAAGGCCTTGGTCCTGGCAACGATTTCACATGGTAATTTGAAGTGTTTGGCAGATACCTCTATGATACACCGCACGATTTCAGCTGGAGCGTATTTTTTTGTGTTGGTTCAGTGTATCCAAGCACTGTATTCCTGCAGAAAAGAATGGATGAGCGTAATTTAAAAATGAACATATGCAAAATGGTGCATCACCTGGGAGGAGGGTGTAGTGGTTTCTCAAGCAATTAAACATAGAATTACCTTAAGATCCAGGACTTCCCCTTCTAGGTATATGCCCAAAAGAATTGAAGGCGGGAGGGGTGGGGGTGGGAGGGTGCAACTGGCTGGCTCAGGTGGTAGAATGTCCAGCTTCTGATCTTGGGGTTATTGTGGGTTCGAGTCCCATGCTGGGTGTAGAGATTACTTTAAAAAAATCTTAAAAAAAAAAAAAAAAGATTTGAAAGCAGGGACTTGAGCAGATATTTGTGTGCCAATGTTCCTGAGAACATTTTCACAAGACCCAAGATGTGGAAACAACTCAAGTGTCCACCGACAGGTGAATACATATGCAAAATGCGGTATATGCATGCAATGGAATATTATTCAGCCATAAAATGTCCTGAAATTCGATACATGCTGCAACATGGAGGAATCTTGAAAATATTGTGCTAAATTTGTCCACAAAAGGACAAAAACTGTATAATTCCTCTTACATACCTAGAATAATCAAATTCCTAGGCAAAGAAAGAGTAATAGTTACCAAAAGCAGCAGAGGAGGGGAGAATAGGGTTTCTGTTTAATGGGTACAGGGTTTCAGTTTGAAATAATAAAATTCTGGAGACAGTTGCAGGACAAGGTAAATGTACTTACTGCCACTGAATTGTACATTCAAAAAGGGTTAAAGTGAATTTTATGTCATGTATATTTTACCACAATTTTCTTAAAGATTCTTTTTATTTTTAAAGTAATCTCTACACCCAACGTGGGGCTTGAACTCACAACCCCAAGATCAAGAGTCACCCGCTCTACTGACTGAGCCAGCCAGGCGTCCCTTACCACAGTTTAAAAAAGATCATAGTCGGTCTAAGCCATGCTTCACCCAGCCAAGTGTTCATATATGATTACCACATGAAGTAAACTGTTATAAAAAAGGACAAAGATGTCCATCTGACAACAACTTAAAGATCACTAAAGTATAAATAAAGTAAAAAAAAGTATATATACAGGGTGTTAAAAATTATTAAGACAGTTTAGGTGATACAAACTTTAACACTTTAAGTGGATTGCTTCTACTAGGAGAACTACAGAATGGAGTGGAAGGCAAGAAGCTTTTATAGGATAAAGAATAAGAAACAGGGGTGCCTGGGTGGCTCAGCCAGTTAAGTGTCTGCCTTTGGCTCAGGTCATGATCTCAGGATCCTGGGATCGAGTCCCATGTCGGGTTCCCTGCTCAGCAGGGATTCTGCTTCTCCCTCTGCCCCTCCCCCTGCTTGTGCTCTCTCTCTCTGACAAATAAATAAAATCTTTAAAAAAAAAAAAAAGAATAAGAAACAAGGAAGGAAGTACACAATCCATAGTTGGCTTGGGATATACTGCATTTCTGATTAGGCAGAGCATTTTCAGGGACCTGACAGTTATCAAAGTTTTGTTCTGCTGACGTGACATCCTGGGCTGGAGCAGCTCCATCTTGGGCCTAGAAATCTCTGGGATTTCCAAGGTCAAAAAAGCCAACAGTATGTGTTTTTCACATACTGAGAACATTGGTGATCATATTTGACCTTTACTAGTTAGCTTCCTGACAGGCTGAGGGGCCACCAAGTGCAGGTCTGGCAGAGAAGGGGAGTCTGGCTGAGAAGATGAGCAGGAGTTGGAACGTAGCCAGCAATCCACTCACCATGCTGTGTGCCTTTTCGTGCATTAATGGGGGTCCTGGCAACATGGAGACCATATAAAAGTATTCATTGAAACTCCTCTGGCTTTTACATGATTTACCAAGAAAAGCCTGGCTATCAGAATACATCTTTTTCTTCTTTTAAGAATATGGAAAGGGGCACCTGGGTGGCTCAGTTGGTTAAGCATCCGACTCTTGAGCTCAGCTCAGGTCTTGATATCAGGGTCATGAGTTCAACCCCATGTTAGGCTCCATGCCCAGTGGAGCCTACTTAAAAAAAAAAAAAAAGAATATGGAGAAATGGGTGTGATAAAACACCGAGTGAAAAATCAGGGGCGCCTGGTGACTCAGTTGTTAAGTGTCTGCCTTCAGCTCACGTCATGATCCCAGGGTCCTGGGATCGAGCCCCGCATCGGGCTCTCTGCTCAGCGGGAAACCTGCTTCTCCCTTTCCCACTCCCCCTGCTTGTGTTCCCTTTCTCATTGTCTCTCTCTCTGTGTCAAGTAAATAAGTAAAAAATCTTATTTAAAGAAAAAGAAAAGAAAGAAAAATCAGGATTTACGCAGTTTTGTGGACAAAAAAGAATGTATGTCACCAGAAAACAATGCAGAAAGCCATGCACCAGAATATTTATATAGTATAATTTCTGGATGGTAGAGTTATGAATGATTCTTACATCCTGTATCTTTATAAATTATCTACAGTAAGTCTGTATTTTATCATCAGAAAAGAAAGAACACTTCCACTCCTGTACACACTGCTCCCTCTGTGTGGGATCATCCCTCTCTCTGTTCTGCTTGTCAGAGTTCAAGCCCCAAAGTCAATGTCAACTCTTAGGCGAAACCTGTTTCATGTTTCATCTTCTTTCCGCCTTCACTTTTCCCATGTTGGTTCTGTGCCTAAGACTTCTGCTTCTTGACCAGATGAGGTCTCTGTTGCATTGCTCAAGAAAAACAATTTTTTTTAAAAAAAAAATGTGTATTTAATGAATGAAAACTGTCTTTACTGTTGGAGAGATTATAATATTATAGAAGTTCAAGAGAAAAATTCTTCAGTGTCTCCATAACTAACAAATTTCCAAACTATTTTATCAACAAAGGGGAGCTTGAACCCTGAGGACTAACTCCACTAGTACCTAGCACTTTGCAGAGTCACAGAAGAATTTTATCTGATATGTAAAAAATTGAAATTAGAAAAAGAGAGAACAAGGGAGTACTCATTTAAACAGGAAATCGTATGTTTTCTAGGGACAAATTAAAAACCATCAGGGAAGTGCTTCAGAGGATGTGGGCTTTATAGTTAGGCTGACCTGGACCAAATTCTGACTCTGCTACTTACTGTGCAGCTTGAAGCAAGCTAATGGGGCTAGTGATAGCTAGTTCAGAGGGTTGTTGTAAACAGTCTATTAGATTACCTGTAAAGTCCTTAGCATGACACAAAATACCACTTACATATTTTTCTTAGGCCTATGGATGGGCATACGGGTTAGATTGTCAGTTAAATTTTAGCAACTATGGCTGACTTAGTTGCAAAGTAGCTTTTTCTGGGAGGAAGAATATAGTGAATTCAGGAAATAGAAATTCCCTGAAAATGAGAATAGGAACATTTTCCTTTTCTTTTTTTTTCCCCCCAAGAAGAGGAACATATTTCACATGCCATTTTGGCTTCAAATATTCTCGCCTCAGAGAAAACCAAAAAATTCACACCTCTGATCTCTTTTACAGGCTAAGCTGGAATTCCTACTCCAAGCTGCATGTTTCAAATAATTATCTCACCGAGTGTCTCAAATTCATCGGAGGAGCTTCTCATCTTCCCTGCTCTTTTCTTCTTGGGCCTACTTTTTTCTCCCAGCCTTGCCTATTTCTGAAATTAGCCAATATTGATAAATACCATCAATGAATAATACACCCATATTCTCAGTTTTCTGGGTCTCAGAAATCACTTTAGAGTCCCGCTCCCCTCCCCGACCAAACCGTTCAGTCTCATCTGTCCTTGTAGGTGGATAGTGGTGTAGACATGGCTGTCCCCTCTTTCTTTCCCAGGGAGGATCTACTCTCCTCCTTGCACCAAGTGACTTACAATAACCACCTCACATGTTCCCTGTCCTCTCTGTCACCTTCCCCGTAAGCATGTGAGGACAGCTCAGGCGGTCCTGCAAGCAGCTACTAGAGTAATTTTGCTAATGCCCTCTGTGACTCCTTCATGCTCCTGCTCAAAAATCATTCATGGAAAGTTCTGGAGCTGGCTGGTGGTGATGGCTGCACAGCGGTGTGAATGTACTCCATGTCACTGGACCTATACACTTTAAAAGGGTTGAAATGGTAAGCTTTCTGATATGTCTACTTGACCACACACACACACACACACACACACACAAAACCATTAATGATTCGAAGACCAGAGCATGATGTTATATAAGGACCAGCACCATCCAAGCCCGATCATTTTCATCGATAGAGTGTCTGGCATCCAGGACAGTGAA